GCCCATGGCATTGGCTACGGGTAAGGTCAGAGATTTGACTCGGCTATTCCACCAAGTCAAGGCTTTATCAATGAAGGTACAGGCTGCGAAATTGACTTTATCGGACTCCGCACAAGCATAGATTTCAAAGATGGACTCTATTTTCTCGAACCATCGAGATAAGGAAATGACACCTCCAGCGCCATTAAAGGATGTTGGTTTTGCATTCATGAAATCCTTGTAGGAACTCCCTCTTTGGTGTCCCTGACTACCTTCAGGATTTTGAGATTGAGGACCACCACTGAACCACTAGGGTTCATTTGTGACATAGCTGCTACCATCGCAGCTGTCATCATCGTCTGGAGCGATGCTAGTCGAACTGGGGAAGGGGTGGCGGCGAAGAAGGATTGTTGTCGTTCTTTGAGCTAGGTCTCTTTCGGGAGGCATCTTGATCTAATAAGATCAAGAAAGAGAGGATGGTAAGTCCTCTATTGAATCGATAGTATGACAGTTATATGATTCGAGTAAGCGATAAAGCAGGAAAAGTTATCGAACAGATAATTTATCGCTAAGATAATCACAGAAACCACTCGAATAAGGATTACTACAGAGGATTGGGATCGAGAATACTCCCATAGTATTTCATGAATTGTTTACGACAATGATTCGATGTTTGGGATATTAGGGTAAGTTTTAGGCATGCCACATACCACAGTCACTCCCAAGCACATGTTGGCCGTGTCTCGAATGAATATAGTTGGCCAGGCTATATTGACCCTAGACACGACTACATAACTGCCCAGGTTTAACCATAGTACACAACACCCAATTACTTATGTTCTGTTCTACTTGTGGTTACGGATGACGACGGTTCGGTATACTTGTATACTTTTGAAAATACTTGTAGTTTGAAGATACTTTTAATTCAGAGCACTTAGGCCCTTTAGTGTTTATAGTTTATACCATGTAAGGTTTGGTATACTTCATTCACTATAAACAAGGGCTCTGATACCAATCTGTCACACCCCGAAAACCGAAGGCGGAAACATTTCCGGGGTTGACTCCACGTTGAGTATCAAATCCAATGCACATAGTAAGTAAAGTAAAACAACCATTACATTACATAAAAGTTTTACAGTTGTTTCAAAAGTAAAGTTTGTACAGTTGTGATACATAGTATATATAAACAAAATGAAACGGATCTTCATGTACTCCATCTTCGAGCAAAAGGATCTTCGGGTACCTGTTCTAATGCTGACCTGAGAACACAAGCGGTTTGAAAATCAGCATAAAGCTGGTGAGTTCATAAGCGGTTTTGTTTTATGAAAATGTATCGGTTTCCCATCTGTTTCTGAAATGTTATGTACACCAAGAAAATCCCGTATTTTCTTAAAAGTTGGTTATTGTTTCACAAATGTAAAGTATAGTAAGTTTGTACACTGAAAACATGTCTACTCATGTGAAAATGTAAAATTGGTTATCTGACTGGTTAAACTGTTCTGTTTACTTATCATGTGTTACCAGGAAAGTCCCATACTTTCCTTATAGTATGTTACAAATTGTAAAAGATGTAATGTTATCTAGTTTATTACTCTTTCTAGTTATGTAAGTGTTACCCAGGAAGGCCCCATGCTTTCCTGTATGTTGGTTTCTAATGTAAATGATGTTAACGATGTAACAGATGTAATCGCGATTGGTTTCCATGTTTTCCCCAGGAAAGTCCCGTACTTTCCTGAATGTTAGTTACAGTAAGTGAAAGATGTAAAAGATGTATAAAGTAATTCATTATTACTATAA